TTTAGTGTAATGGTTTCATTTATCTCATCATCACAACTATAGTCTTCTATTTAACATTCTGTGTACTCTTGCAAAAATTCATATGTGTGTGTGTATATATATATATGTATTTGCTTTAGACCTATATGAAATGAATTTTCATACTCTTCATTTATGCCTGTTTGACAGGCCACATTTTATAATACAATAAAGTGTTTATTTTCCCGAATATTAAAATCTGATTCTTTTTCTTTTTGTTAGATTATATTTCATCATATCTATCATAATGATTGTTTCTTAGCATTGTACTTTGAATCTGTGTTAATCCATTTTCTCACTGCAAATGGCTTTTGTTATTTTGTGTGCATTACAGGTCCTATGCTTCTTAGGAAAAAAAATTCAACAAAGGTTTCATTTTCTATAGATTAAGATAAAGCAATAACTATAAACAATGACAACATCTTTGTAATGTCTGTTTTATCCTGCCATGGAAGTTTAACTTCTGCCAAAAATGCTTTTCTTTCTGGCCCATTTCTTTCTTCAGATAACACATCAAGTGTCACTTGGGAGAGACTTCGATAAGTACATAGGGAGTTTTTGGATTACAATACACTGCTCCTTTCAAAGATATAGTTAAAAACTGTGATTGTTCATTTGGTTTGTTGTTCATGATTGTTAGCAACATTCAGGATGGCAGAAGTGATGTCTATTTTGTTCACTTTCTAGGAGCAGGTCAGCGGTGGATATTCAACCTACCTTATTTTGTTGTTGTTGTTGTGTTTTGTTTTGTTTTAGGCTTTCAGCAGCAGGAAACCTTGGTTTTTAGCTTCTGTTTCTAGTGATAGGTGGAAAAGAGGGATGAGGAAGGGGTTTTGGTAGCCCAGTCAGAAACAGAAACTAAGAACCCGTGACTGTGTCCTCTCCCTTGGACACCCTTAGACAAAGGGCCACTAAGGGATCTAGAATTCTCGGATCACAGGTTTAGTTAGTAGGAAAGTATAACCTGCTACCTGAAGGATGAGAAGCCAGGGGAAAGAGGGTCTGTGGAGAGAGGGGAGCGTGCTCCTGCAGAGCAAACAGGTTGCACCAAGGAGAAGGTGGAGGTGAGGTTGTGCAAGGAATGGATACATCCAGGGTAGCCGACACAGGGGATGTGGAAGATGAAGTGACAAAGAGGAGGCCAGAGGGTTGGACAGGCCTGGACCTCACAGTCCCTTTGAGCTGTGATCAGGAGATTGAATGAACTCAAAGGACAGTGTCAGGATGAGAAGACTAATTGTTGTGTAATTTAATAGGAGATATTTTAGCGTAAAAGTATCCAAAGTGGAAGTATGCCAAATGTATTCCTGAAATACTCTAAAAGATTTATAGTGAAAACAGTTGATATTTTAAAGCTGTAGAATTTTTATATGAAGAGGTGGTAGCTCTGGATTCAAATTTCCTCAATTTCCAAACTGGGTTGACCCTTTCTAACTGTATGACTTGGCTGGATACATCAGAGCCTAAATCCTAGTTTCTTTATCATTAAAATGGGGATAATAATAGTACTGACTATTTCATTGATTAATATCAATATTATATAGAAATTGGAACTGCAACTTTGTTACACGAAATACAGAGCACTTTTGTAGATTTCATTTTTCCTATGCTTTTCATGTTTTTTAAGTACATCATTTCTCTTTCAAAAGACAGAGGGAGAAACATACAAAAAAGTAAATGGTAAATTAGTATGTCAAGGTGACATACTAATTTTGTATAACAAAAATGTATGCCTTGCCTACAGGATAGCTAGAGTTAACCAGTCTGCAGGCATTTTCCCTTTTAATAGTCACAAGAATTCAATGAGGCCCATGCTATTCTTGTCTCCTTCTATACTAAGGATATTTAGTGAAAGGCAGTTTATGTAATTGGTGCAAGATCATTGTCTAAAAAGTGGCAGAGTAAGACTCTACCCAATAGAGGCTGGAGTCCACTATCTGACACATTAAGTTCTCCTTTGGCAACAAATAATTTTGTTAGTAATATTATATATACTTTGTAGACCCTTAAGATTTTATTTGGTTATGTACTACATTCAAAAATATTTGCAGGAATCACGGTGGACTGATTGTATAAGCATTTTTACAACGCAAAAATCAGTACAAGAAACCAGAGTCAACAGCATTAAAGTATTTTCCCACATTATCAGTGGCCCTGTTCTACAACCACTGGCAAATACTTTCATAGTTGTCTGAGCTAAAATATGAAGAGTGCACACATTTGTATAGGGAAATGAAGACTTTAGTGCATGCATATGTGTGTTAACCACCCTCATCTCAAGCAAGTTTTCCTTGCCTGAGAAAACTTTTTAAAACAGGAAATACTCTTCAAGTTCAAGGACTGACTGATTAAGCCCAACTCATTTTTATTTAGTCAGATGTGAAAAAATACACAGTTAATTGGTAGGCAAGATCTCAATGTACCAGAATCCAATTATAGAGTCTTCAAAACAGTAGTGAAATAAAAGTTAATGAGACATTTAAAGACATTACAATTTTATGATACTGATTTATTTTGAAAACTAGCAAGGATAATTTTAAGTTTAATATGCTGAATTAAATTCTCTGTCTTCACTTTGGAATTTCAACCAAAAGAAATATCATTAAACAGTGAATAGTAAATATATATATGTATTTATGTTTGTGTGTGTGTGTGTATGTGTGTATATATGTGTGTGTATATATATACACTGTTTCTAATTAAGAGTTCCTTTTGTTCTTTTCTTTTTTATATTGGTGTTGGAGTTTGGTCAGTTGTATTCTTATTGCCCTCTGAATTATAATATATGAAGGGAACAAAATACTCCAAATCAGCAATAATTGAAACATGATTGGACATATACCAATGCTAACAAAAATAATTACAACCATGTGTCTATATTATTATAACAAGTATTATAATGAAGAGTGAAGTGGTTTGACATCTCTATGTAACACTTGTTAAAATGTTTTCTTCTCTACTATTAAAAGTTAATATTAATTAAGTTTAATATTATAAGATCTCTTAATAAGATAGCCTTAATATTCATCTTTTAAAATATTATGTAGTCTTTTTTCCCAATGATTAAAGGCTTATTTTGTAAGTTAGTTATAGTAATGAAACCCATTCAGTTGATTAAATAGATGGGTCATAAGGAGGCGATTTATGATCTGTAACTATATAAAAGCAAATGAAAAAAAGTGAGAGGATTAAATGTCATGCACATAAAATATTATATAAGATTATTTACACCAGAAAAGCATATCTGAGAATAAAAATGGGTAATTATTTACAGCCATGGAACTTTATTAATTTACAAATTAAGCTGCATGTTTTGAGCACTTTTTTAAAGCAAAAATTCTACTTACTATATTCTCAATATACCTATATTACAATGTTGAATAAAGAATTGGGTATATGTATTGTTACATATGGTATGCCTTTACAAATTAATTTGTGTTTGGTATTTATATGGAAAGTTGATTTTAATTTCTTTACGAAGCTTTGCATTGGGCTAAGACTCTGTGTCGTGTTATCTACGCTGTAAAGTTTCCTCATTTCTAAGTGGTAGTCGCAACTTCATCAGTACTCCTTAGATCACCTTGACCATACCTACTAATCTAACACTGACTTGACACATACTGCATACTAAACAAAATTATTGAACAAATACATGTATTTGTTATAATGTAAATTATGTATCTTTAAAACTTAACTGTGCTTCTCTCACCCACCAGACTGTAAAACCTTTGACACACAAGAAACATGTTTTTCATAATATTTTATTTTTGATCTTATCACAGTATTAACCACAGTGAGAAATTAATTCATGTATATGTTAGATGTGCTTTTGCTGGAAAATAACAGAAAACTCAACCATCATAACTTAAATAAATATAGGTTATTCTGCTCAAATGGCAAAGAAATCAGAGGTATGCATTCTACGTTGTGATGCCATAATTCACACCTTAAATCAGGCTCTTCTCTTCATGGTTCACCATTTGGAATGTCATGAGAAGGCTGTTATACTCACCTTCTTCCAGAACTATGTCCTTATTCAAACACAAGGAAGGAAGAGGAACGAGAGTTCCTCATTGTGATGTTCTCGTATTTTTCTGGATGGGAAATCTCAGCACACTTCATCTCACATCCCAGCAGCCAGAGTCAGGCCATATGGCTGCCTTGAGACGAGTCAATAGTCAACAGATGAAGGGCATCATGGAAAATGTAGGCTATGATTTAACCTCTGGCGTTGAAATAGAGGCTTATTTGCCTATACATCAATAGGTTGTGCATTCTGCCTGAACAAATTGAGGCTTAGCAGGGATAAAGAAAACCATTAAGTAGTTAGTGGACAATAAATATTACAATTTGTATTTTGTAGTGGACAATGTTGCAATAGATATGACCTAAATAGGACTGGATTTGTCAAAATGAATTATTTATGTCATATGCTATCTTCAATTGCATCTTTATATTTTTATTTGTATATTTTTGGCAAAATTGAATATGAGAATATTCTATTTCTTAGTGGACAGTTACAAGTGTTTAAATTCCTCTATATTTTTAGTTACATTGGAAAAATATGCAATATTGAAAAAGTGCAGCCGGGCGTGGTGGCTCACACCTGTAATCCTAGCACTTCAGGAGGCTGAGGTGGGTGGATCACGAGGTCAGGAGATCAAGAACATCCTGACCAACATGGTGAAACCCCATCTCTACTAAAATACAACAAAAATTAGCTGGGCCTGGTGGTGCGTGCCTGTAGTCCCAGCTACTCAGGAGGCTGAGGCAAGGGAATTGCTTGAACCCTGGAGGCAGAGGTTGTAGTGAGCCGAGATCATGCTACTGCATGATCAAGACTCTGTCTCCAAAAAAAAAAAAAAAAAAAAAAAAAGTGGCATTGTTTTCATCAAATTTCAAAAACAACAAAAATGTAGGTCTTATTCCTGTATTTACAAGGGAAATTTCAGCATGAAATTATGTCCTTTATCTTTTCTCAGGTCTCAAAGATGAATATGAATTTAGATTCCATTCATCGATTAATTGAAGAAACACAGATCTTCCAGATGCAGCAATCATCAATTAAGTCACGTGGTGACATGGTGACACCTGCCTCACCCCCCAGGGATACCTGCTTCCCACTTCATGGGCTACAATCTCATGCTGCTCACAATTTCTGTGCACACTCATGTAACACCAACAAATGGGATATTTGTGAAGAACTTCGCCTGCGGGAGCTTGAAGAAGTCAAGGCCAGAGCTGCTCAGATGGAAAAGACCATGCGGTGGTGGTCAGATTGCACTGCCAACTGGAGAGAAAAATGGAGTAAAGTTCGAGCTGAAAGGAACAGTGCCAGGGAGGAAGGAAGACAACTCAGAATAAAACTAGAGATGGCGATGAAAGAATTGAGTACACTGAAAAAGAAACCGAGTTTGCCACCTCAGAAGGAGGCATTAGAAGCTAAAGACACCCAGGATCTGAAGCTTCCTGGTTTCACAGAAGAAGCCTGTGAACATAGAGACCAATTTCAAGTGAGTTCACAAATGTATGAGTCCATCAGAGAGTGTTTGGTAAAAAGACAATTTTCTACAAAGGAGGACACAAATAATAAGGTAAGAAAAAAATCCAGAGACTATGTGAATATCTGAAGGTCATAGATAGTGATGGGGAGGAAGAAGGAAGTGACAAATCCAGTGGTGACTATACTAGTCTGCCAGCGCTATCATAAAAACGTACCATAATCACAGTGGTTTAAGCAACAGAAATTCATTTTCTTATAATTATAGAAGCTAGAAGTACAAGATCAAGGTGCTAGCAGGGTTGGTTTCTTCTGAGGCCTCTCTCCTTGGCTTATAGAAAGCCATTTTCTCCCTGTGTCTTCATATGGTCTTTTCTTTGTACACATGTCTGTGTCTTAAGTTCTTCTTGTAAGGTCACCTAATGAGCCTAATTTAACTAAATCACCTCCTTAAAGGCCCTGTCTCAACCAACAGTCACATTCTATGGTACTGGGGATTAGGACTTTAACAAATAAATTTTGAGGAAACACAAGTTCAGCCCATCCTAGTGGTTTTACTAATCTTTATAGAAAAAATTAACTCAGCATTTTTCATCTGAAAAGAAAATATTTGGAGATATTTCTTTCCATTTGCCTTAATTATTTCTAAATTGTAAACAATCCATACAGTAGTTTGAATAGTTCTCAATGTTTGGGACTCAAGCCTCACAATTAACTACTTATAAAATGGGTACTGCAGGCAAATAGGGTACCTTAGGAAATGCTTTATATGGACCACTGATGGAATTTCTTGCTATACTTAGAATCTCAGTTTCTGAGAATTCTGTACAAAGCACATGGAACTTTAAAAAGTCTCTCAGTTTATACACTTACTCATCCATGAACCACCACCCTGTTTTTTCTTTTTCTTTTATTTTAACTTGGTAAATAATATTAACAACCCAAAGAACATACTTTGGGAACTCCTGTTACCTCTTATTATAGTTTCAGTTTATTTTGTTACCTCTTTCTACTTAATTCCTTCTCTAACACACATTAGTTAATATCCTGCACCTCTACCATTGCATTTAGTATTTTAAGCCATTCTATAATGTATATAATTTATGGTAGGTAAAACCTAGATTTAACTATAAATAAAAAAAATTAAGAAGATTGCAATACAATGATTACTTCTGCTTATTTAGTTTTCTACGTTTTCTTTTAAAAATGTTCAAAGCTGATAATCTGGGCTTTGTGTGTATCTTTTGGAAAATCACATATATTCTCAAAACTCAACTGTATTAATGTATGCGTTAGAAGAATGCAATGATGAGGATAAGGGAACATAGCTCACATCAAGTTCTCTAAATCCACAAAACGTTTTTATTATTACAAGTTACTAGCCTCTGCATTTGAGAAAATGAAGGATTCTCTTCACATGTATTATGATGGAAAATTCTCAATATTTTGGGATTTCTTCTGAAATATCTCCTTAACATTAATGTCAAGAACAAATCAAACATAATACTTATTTATTAAAAATGTATTTATTTGCAAAATATCCTTCCAGATATTCCTTCTGATGGTAGGAAAATAAATATTACCTGTGGAAGAAGCTTCAATCAGTTTTTTCCTTAAAATTTTGACCAGTATCTTTGCCAACTCTATACCCAACAAGAAAAATATGTATATGTATCCTCAAACAACACATCTTATTTTATTGTTTGTCAAAATATTATAGTATAGATGATTGCAATGATCATTCTTGAGAGAATTAAGGAATGATTCATACTGGGTAACCTGGCATTCACATACTACTTAAAAAATAAAATAAAAGTGAAGTATCATCGAGATTTTACTTGAACTTGACTATTCATTGAGATTTTATTTGAAATTGTCTTTCATTTTAAACTTATAAACCAGGGCAAATTTAAATTGTAGGCAAATACCAACAGCATGAGCCCTGTGAGGTTTTTGAGTTACGCTCTAAGAGTGTTGATGCAGTTGTTGCTCTAGTATTGATGTCCATGTTTATTAAAGTGCCCCATTAAATTCTATTTGAGATGTGGCTCATGAATTAAAAAAAGGGGAACTAAAATAAAGCGATAAGCAAGCTTTTTAAAATATTCAAGAGCTTCCTGAAAATTCTATCTTGTCTTTCAAAAATGTTAAAAAATAATTACTTTGAAACTGTAAGTGTCTTATGACAAAAGAAACTTGAAAGAGGAATTCATCAACTCATTAAAAATTATTTACAGCTGTTCAAGTTTGTGCATGATTATTTTTAGCGTGATTAGAAAAAGAGAACAAACAGAGTTAAAGCAGAACTTTTGAGAAATGTATTTTTTTTGTAAAGAGGTAGAACATAGAAAAAAATAAGTTTGAAGAAGAATGCAAGTAAGTGTGGCCACACAACGCTTTTAGGGAATGATAATGAAATAAAAATATCAATTTGTTGTTGTATCATAACATGTATTTCTTTATGAAAATGTATTATCATCACGATTTTTCTCCAAGAGGTTTAATTTTTTTTTTTTTTCAGGAAGAAGGTGTGGTTATTGATTCTCTAAAATTAAGTGAGGAAATGAAACCCAATCTAGATGGTGTTGACTTATTCAACAATGGTGGTTCTGGAAATGGTGAAATGAAAGCTGGGCTGAGACTGAAAGCAATAAATCTGCCTTTGGAAAATGAAGTAACTGAAATTTCAGCTTTGCAGGTGCATTTGGATGAATTCCAAAAAATCTTATGGAAGGAAAGAGAGTAAGTGCTAATTATTGTCTCCCTTAACCAAGTCTAACTTTCAAACCACTTAAAATTGTTAATACTGATAGATTGGTCATTTGATAATGTATTTTATCCATGTTTAGTCATTAAGTTTTAGGATTTAAAGAAATTAGTTTGACAGATATTCATATTTTGAATTTTAAAAAGTAGTATATAACTTGTTAGTGTTTTTCATTCTTTTAAGTTGACTTTTATCATGACTATGTTTTTATCATCTCTGGTAGATTCACTTTAATTGTATCTGAATTCTTAATGTACAAGGTTAAAATATCCAGTGTGTTATTTAATTGTTACAGCATCTTGGACTTGGTAAATAAAAAATGAATAAATATGTTAATACTAATAGCAGAAAAATCACAATTTTGTGAGATATTGATTACAGAAAAAGTTGTCTGATACATGGACCACTAAGGGCATCAGGCTTGTGATTAATTGGCCTGGATCTTCATCTTTGTTCTGATGTATTCCAACTATGTGATGTCGGCTGTTGCCCCTTTGTGAAAATAGCTGTAGTGCTGTTATGTTCCAGTTATCTATTGTCTTGAAACAAACTTTTCCAAACAATTATCATTAAAACGTATCAACAGCAACCACCATGTCTTCTGTTCAAGAATCTTGAGCATGCCTTGGCGTGGACATCGAATCTCTCACTTGTGCCTTCAGTTGCAATGGCTCAAAGGCTGGCCATGCCTGGAAGGCTGGGGGCTGCAGCCTCTCTCACTCATACGTCTGGCCTCAGTTCTCATCTAGGCCTTAGTTGGGACACCTGCACTGGGGCTATTTAAAGGGGTGCTTGGCTTCCTCACAACACTGGGGCTAGGCTGCAAGTGAACATCTTAAGAACACAGAGAGAAGAACGCCATTTGAATGACTCTGCCTCAAAAGTCACGTAGCATCACTTCAGACCCATTATCGGTGGTGGGAATCTCAAAGGCTGACTCAGATCAAAGAGAGAGAAGCACTTTCAACGGAAGGAGTGTCAAAACAATTGTATAATAAGGGCGTGTGGGATGCAGTCATTGTGGCAACGGTCTTTGCAAAATACAGTCTGTCATAGCCTTTCTCAGTGAATTCTCATAAAGATCAAGAACAAATAACATCTGGGAAAGAGGATAGTAATATGAAATATTCAATATGGATTTTTGTTTCTTTGCAATCAGTTTACAATTTTATTAGCACAATGTGGAATATCTAATATATAAATGTGGTTCCAAAATCTAAAAATAATTACTTTTATCTCTTAGTTATAAAAGCCTTAATGGGCAGAACCAGAAAAGCGAGAAGGATATGTATGCATATATACACACAATGTATTATATAAGCATATGTTATATAACAGTTTTAATTTTCCTGGTTTGAATGGACTGAAATCAGGATAAATATGCATACTAGCCATTCACAGATACAGTAAGTTCTTTACCACTTATTTTCTGCCAGAAGTTTCTCATTAGTTCCTCTGAAATTTACTAGTGCCACCGATTCCCTTTTTCAGACTCTTCATCTGTATTTCACTAGATTAATAGATTGTGATCATGCAAGCATTTATGTACAGAATAAATACTTATTACCCTATCAAGTGTAAATTCCTAGTAGAGGCAATCAACATCAGTAGAAAAAAGAATAAAATTGAATTTAATTTTTAGGCTTGTACATATACTGACAATTTTATCTAGACCTATACATTTCAGTCACATTCTAATTTCTGTGCTTTTACTTCTTGAAGGATTTAACTTTTGGTAATTATAGACTTCTCTCCAGCACTCGTACGATATTACTTCCCTGATGCAGTCTAAAGGGAGAAGTGCAGAGCTGTGTTTTTCTAGATGTAAACTTTCCTATTCTAAAGTGTCAGTTTTAAAAACATGCATGTTCTGTCTTAACACGCTTATCCATGTACATATACACAACATGTACTTTTTACTTTCTTGGAATACATGAACAATTCTCAGAGTAAGTACATTCTCCAGTTCTCAGTGACTTCAGTCTATAATCCATAGACAGGTCAAAGAATAAGAGAAAAAAGGAGGCTTTCCATGGCCTTGTCTTCCTACTCTCCTCTTTTAAGAAACAATCCCACGGACTTGATGAGTCATGGTTCCTGTGTCCATGAATCAACATTTGCATGCAATCCGCATGAGGCAATCACAGTCTTTTTTGCTATCGCAAGAGAACATTTTCCAAGAATATAGGATATGCTATTACTTATAAATCCATCTAATCTTTTAAATTCTTCTTCCTGGAATATCAGTGAGTGGGTGGCTTGAATTGAGATGTGAATGTATTTTTTTCTGCATTCCCATCTAGTGGGAAAATTCTCTTCTTAACTAGTGCACAGAAATCAGCTCAGAAAACTCAGGGACTCATTTTTTCCATTGTCCTTGACTAGAACCTCTTCATCAAATAGAAGAAACTTTATTGTTTTATTTGCACTCTGAGTACTGTTCAGTTTTATGAATAATTCTCCAGCATTAAAAGTTTCTCATATACTGAGAATTTATATATTTCTGATGACTTTCATAAAGACTTCCCAGGTAGAAAATTTAGAGGAAGGCCAGGAAAGCTGATCCTCTTAGAGAGCTATGTGTACCTAAAAATTTAGGAAGCTGAGGTTGGCAATACCAAATCTCAAGTAACAGAGACTGAGATAAAATATTTTGAACTGTTCTAACATTCAGAATCAGTTTTGAAATTTCACTGCAGAGACCTCCTTTATCACTTATAAAATGTTTGTTCTGTGTCCTTTAAGCTGAGCTTCAGTCCTCCTTTTCCATTTCATCTTTTTTTTTTTCTTTTCTTTTTGAGACAGTCTCGCTCTGTTGCCCAGGCTAGAGTGCAGTGGTGCAATCTCGGTTCACTGCAACCTCAGCCTCCTGGGCTTAAGCCATCCTCCCACCTCAGCTTCCCAAGTAGCTGGAATTACAGCCTGTGCCACCACGCCTGGCTAATTTTTTTTTTTTTTTTGTATTTTTAGTAGAGACAGGGTTTTGCCATATTGCCCAGGCTGGTCTGGAACCCCTGGCCTCAAGTGATCTACCCTCCTTGGCTTCCCAAAGCGCTGGGTTTACAGGTGTGAGCCACTGTGCCCAGCCCATTTTATCTTCTTAATTTATTTTATATATAAGAAAAGTAGTATGCTTCAATTATTTTGTTTTGCTTCATTAAATGTTCAACTTTTTTTCATAATGAGATTTAAAATCTAGGTGAGAAGTTTCAGCAAATTAAAAATGCTTCAAAGGTTATTATTTTTGGTCTGTGTATGAAACAGACAGATTTCTACTTTACATATATATATATAAAGCATATATATATATTCCTCAATTAATGAATACATTGACATGCAAATCTAGTTAATACTGTTTATTGTAAAATTTGTAAGTATTAGAAAGTCAAGCTTATTTTGTTTCTTTATTGTCACTCATGGAATATTCAATAAATCTTTACCATCTTTTGACTCTCCAGTGTCTATTTTGTGTTTCGGCAATTTGCTACCAAATGAAACAGAGTCTACACCTGTGCATAGATTATAAAAATACCAGTAAGTCTCTACCACGGTTTCCTTTGTAATGAGGGTACAGACACTTGACTTAGGAATAGTGTATCAGAGGTGGCCGCCTAGAGTTTTAAGCCAAGCCAGTACCCCAAGGCAGTAGACAGCATCTAGAATCCATGCCTGAGGGGGAAGCAGCAGCAGTAAAGAAACTCGTTTCCAGAGGCAGCGGTGGCCTCTGGTGCCTAGTGACACCACCCACTGTCCCATATTGGTGATCTTGAGGTCCCGCTGTGATGTCTGTACCTTAATGGTGGCCGAAATAGTGTGCTTACAGGAAGATTTTGATGGCTTTCTCATCAGTGTTCCTGGCTGCATGTATTCCCCAGAAATTTTTTGAGCTACAATATCCTTTTCCACTCAAATTAGCTAATTTGAATATGTTTGCTTGCCAGACCATAATACCAGGACAGTGTACAGGCAACAGACAGAGGAGGTTACAGGTAGTGGGGTCTTCATGGGACCAGTTTTGTGGCATGAGAGTGGGTCTTCGTCCCTGTCTGCTTCATCTGCAAACCTTGTTCTATGATTCTCCTGGAGATCGGAGCTTAACAATATTCTTTAAATACTTATCTTTTCTAATTAAATTAATTGTATATGGCTTGGCTGTTTGCAACAGCCGAGTGCTAACACTCAGTGCTGAAAGATGTAATTATGAATAGTAGGAAGTGCAATTGCAAAATGACATATATGTTGTTTAAAGTATATTTGGAAAAACTTGTTAACAGTTTAATACTATCTCTAAATTTTGAACTGTTATAAAAATGAATATCTGCATGTTATTACAAGACAATCATTTGATTTGGTAATAACATTTTTATATTAATACACCCTTTCAGAAAATAACAATTCAATTTTTTCCAGTGAAATTTCCCACAGTTCAACAATGATTAATATTTATACCTAGATATTAATTTTTAGGACTTTTCATCCCTGAGAAATATTTGAGTAATATTATTGTCTAGAAATTTAAATTTTATTTCCAATTATTGTGGAATTGTGACAGTAAACAAAGCATCAAAAAATGCATGGAAATATAATCACAACTTTTCATAAAAATAATTTTGGTTCATATTTTATATTTAGATTCTACAAACTTTATATATTTTAGCAATATGATTTTTTTAAAGTTTATATCATCATATTAAAGATACTACATTTTTGCTAAGCTTTGCCTTTTTAATTTCATTCTCATGAAGAATGTGTACATAAAATATGCAACATTTTAGAGTAAATATTAAGTGTTTGCCTTCTTGTAGCTCAAATGCTCTGACAATAATATACATCTCAATTATAAATTTAACTATATTATTCATCAACTTTGAAAATCTCTCTGAAACACAGAATAAAATGATTAGGCTAGAAAATTAAGGACTTATAGAGTGCCCTCTGCTGCATAAATTTAGACACGCAATGTCCTTAATGCTGGCACAGAGACACAAAAGTTTATGATGGGGCTATCTAAATACTAAAACAATTTAAGTATCCCATTGTCATTAAATAATTTTTTATGAATTCCTTTTTTTCTCACTCCCCTAACCAAATTGTAACCTTTTTCATAATAAAAATGCATAATTTTCCTTTAGGAAACAAATACATATCAGATATTTTCTTTATGATGTACACTTGAGGTAAATATTACTTTCTTCGAAAATTTTTGAATTTATTTTGAGTTTCTAAATTATCATTTGATTCATTAAAGTATAACATCAAAAGCAGACATTTGATTTCACAACATGTATGATTTTAACTCTAGGTAATTTTCAAGTATGTTTCCATTATTCTATTATAAATAAAATAATTCTCAAAATTAATTTTAAGGAGAAACATAAATATATGCTTCATTACACAAATACAGTTAATTAAAATCTTTTATAAAATTATTTTATTAATTTAACATATGCCATTTGCTTTTCAAGTTTTTCAGTTACCGACAAGACATTCCCACGTCCTACTCAAGAAAATCTAAAAAATTAAAATTATAAATATGGTGATTCTTATCTTAAACATTCCAATGAAGTTACAAACTTAGTACAATTTTATTATAATTTTCAATATAAATTCACAGGTCTAAGTCAATATTCAATATCTTTTAAATATTCTAATTTATCACCCAAAACTTAAAATGCACTCAAATGTTAGATATGCAATATAGTTCATCTTACAATGATTTGTACACATAATTTCTAAATCTTACACAAAATACTAATACTGATTTGTTTATTATTTCTATATTTAATTCTTTTCCTCTCGTCATCTCAAACACAACTACTGAAACACAAATTATATCATAATAAGCAACTTGGGTGTCCTCAGCTGGCTAGGTCTACTTTTCTATCTGAAATTGTGACTGCTGTGGTTAATCTGGATTATAAACATTCATATTCAGTGTTCGTAAGACCTAAACTTTCAAGTTGAATCTTTTTGTTTGTTAATTTTGTTTAATATATTTGCTATGTTAATAAGGGATTCCGGATCAGAGTACTGTAAGTGGTGCTTTGCACCATTTTTTTTTTTGCAACCTGTCTCTTTTGAGGTTAAGCTAAGCTCTAACTAATTCTTTTATATCCTCTTTCAATTTTATGGCTTGATTTATGTAAATGTAATTATATAACTTTTTAATAGACTGCTTCTCCATTTGATTGGAGTAAACTAATGTATTTACAGTCTGACACTACTTTGAATTATCATAGTATTGTTACCAAGAAGAATCATATTTCTTATTAATATGTAAATGACATTCAATTTTGATTCTGCCTGCGTCTTCTAGCTCTGTGAATATGTTCCTAAGATCTTTCTAGTCACATTTAATATCACTGAAATAGAGCTGTATATTAGTTAATTATGAATACAATAACTATGTGACTAACAATCACAAAATCTCAGTGTCATATAACAATCAAAGTGTATTTACCTGGTGCTCAAACATACAAGTTCTTTTCAAACTTTTTTTTCTGTCATCTCTGCTAATATCTCATTGTCAAATCCTAGAATTGAGGAATGAGGAAAACAACTCTGTCCGTGGAAATGGAGGAAAATCAATGAGTATTTATTTATTTATTTATTTATTTATTTATTTTTGAGACAGAGTCTCGCTCTGTGGCCCAGGCGGGAGTGCAGGGGCCGGATCTCAGCTCACTGCAAGCTCCGCCTCCCGGGTTCCCGCCATTCTCCTGCCTCAGCCTCCCGGGTAGATGGGACCACAGGCGCCACCACCACGCCCGGCTAGTTTTTTTTGGGTTTTTTTTTTTTTTTTTTTTTTTGTAATTTTTTAGTAGAGACGGGGTTTCACCGTTTTTGCCAGGATGGTCTCGATCTCCTGACCTCGTGATCCGCGAGTATTTCTGAATAGTAATCAAATCTACCTTACAGATAAGAACAGGCCAGCTTCAAAGGTCAATATGTGTTCATTACAACCAGAAATAAAACAATTATCAATGACTCTAACAGACATTGTGGGCCAAAAAAAAAAAAGAACAAAAATCCAGTGGTTGGTGTATTAAAGGACAAAATTTTTTATTTATTATTTCTTTTTTTTTTTGAAGCCGAGTCTCGCTCTGTCCCCCAGGCTGGAGTGAGTGGCGCGATCTCGGCCCACTGCAAGCTCCGCCTCCCGGGTTCCCGCCATTCTCCTGCCTCAGCCTCCCGAGTAGCCTGGACCACCGGCGCCACCATCACGCCCGGCTAATTTTTTGTACAGACGGGGTTTCACCGTGTTCGCCAGGATGGTCTCGATCTCCTGACCTCGTGATCCGCCCTCCTCGGCCTCCCAAAGTGCTGGGATTATCGGCGTGAGCCACCGTTCCCGGCCTAAAGGACTAAATTTTAATCCTAGTTCTGTTGCTAGTTCTACAAATAGAGAAATTAATTTCAGTTATTTAGAATAATTTAAATAAGGATCCCAGTGAAATTTCTTTTTTACAACCAAATTTGAAATACTTAAAATTATTTTTAGATCCCCAATAAATGACTATTTTTTAAGATTGTTAGGTGGCCTGTTGGAATTCTGTGTCATTTCAAATGATTTTTTTCATTCACATACAGCCACAATATGAAGATGGATAGAATACCATGTTAAAATTAGAAACATGTATATCCTCCTATGTAAGAAAATATTATGAGTGAGAGGAATTGAGAGGCATGCATGAAATACATGGAAGAAATCAAGCAGAATGTTAATACTGGCAAAGCCAAATTAAATATACGTAATCTACTGTAAAGTTCATTGTCAGAATAATAAACTAAAAACGTTTTATTCAATATTTATAATTTTTTAATAAGTTGCAAAATGTTTTCTCTCATTATGATCAGATACAAATATCAAAAATTAGGAAAATGGCTATAAAATTGAACGCATCCTTGAAATTATTTTACAATTGAAGCTGACTTTTTTTCTTTTAATTTTAAAATTATTTAGAATGCGCACAGCTTTGGAAAAAGAAATAGAGAGGCTGGAGTCGGCTTTGTCTCTATGGAAGTGGAAGTATGAAGAACTGAAAGAATCAAAGCCAGAACATGTGAAAGAGGTATGAGGGAATATGATGTAAAGGAAGAAATGAAGCCTAGCTTTTTCTCTCTTTGGATATGTAAACAAGTGGGCAGAAAGGCACAACAGACCAGAGGAAGGGAGGTTAAATACTGGAATTTCCTCTACAAGAGCAATATTTGAAATCACTTGTCAATAGTGAGCTTAGTCAAATTCAGACAATATATATGACATCTTGTTTGTATTTATACATTTGTGGCAGTTTTATATTGGTAATTATTTATTTTCAAAAACCTCATTGCATATATTTATGATATAAAAATGATATTTTGATATACATATTGGTAGTTAAATGGTTAATGATTAGCTACATGACACAATTAATTATCCATTCTAGGCACATTAGAGCAGATGGTTAAAGATATCCTCTGATAGCACACCATCTATCATAAGTGACTTTATCTTATTCTTTCATGAAGCAGTCTGATAATATCAATTTATCTCAGGCGTATTGAGGTTCTTTTCATATCAACATTGTAGTTATTTGGGATCAGCCACTTGCCAGAATACTTTTCTTTTGCATTTCCATCAATAAAATGCCATCATGAACCTTTCCCATTTTGATGATTTATTATCGTTTATTATTTAAGTAATATTAATTGTACATGTTATGTGTACTAAAGCATGGTATTACATAAGTGTGTGGGAAAGAATAATGAGTAAAGAAAAGAAAAATAATGGGCAAAATATGACTATTTTCACATGAGTTAACATTTAGTGGGTGTGTGTGCAGTATAAATATACATACACACGTATACATGTATGCACAAACGTATACATGGATATACGGATCCATAGTATTTACATGCACAGGAACCTCTCTCTGGGTATGACATTCAAAATGCATTGATGTATACTGGAAAAATAGTTCATGACACAAGAACACATTATGTTTAGAATATGTGTTTATGTGCTCTATAATATAATGGGTTCTAATTTTGACTGAAAAAATTAATATTTAAGATGCAATTAGTGGAAAATTTGTTAAAAAAAGAATGCATTTACTACCTCTTGCCACTAGTGTGCAGTACAGACTTGATAATCTTAGTTTCGTAAGCCTTTATTTGAGTAACATTTATGTAGCAAATATACTGAAAAAGTCAAGTTTTTGAGTTGGTTTAAAAAGCAATACGTATATTTGAAAATGTTTAATGTTTTCTGTTCAGACATGATTTTTGGTAGCAAAGTAAGTGAGAGAAAAAATAAAAGTATGATGTTATACAGTGTAAGGTAGATCTGTATTTGATGACCATTCAAAAGTATTTATTAATACATATATGATACTTTTGATAGATAAAATGCTGACAGGGTTTCAGAACAGGAGAAACCTCAAAATTGTGAAACATTTGTTTTTTGAGTGCATATGTCAGTTAAATGAACCACAAAGTTGAATAATGAACTCAATGAATGTAAAATTTTGTAGACATTGAAAATTTATAAATATAAAGATCAAACACTGTTTGAATTATTTATATGGAAAAATTTTTTAAATATGTCTTTTCATTCCTAACAAACATTTCTGATGTTCTTAGGTTTTTTTTTTTTTTGGAGAAATGTGTTGTATACACATGTTTAAATTGTTTTTGTAAAATAAGGTTAAATTTTTAAAAATGTTTAAAAACTAAACAAACAAGACTACTTAGAAGGAGTTTATTTATATATTCCTTGTTTAATCATTTCTTATAATGGGTTATAATAGACAAGAATTTTAGGCTACATTTAGAAATAGTATTGTAGCACAAGTATAAGCGTAAAATATTCAAAGTCTCTATACAGTTGATTGACAATCAGAAGGTGTGTCATGATTCGTTCTTTAAAATTTCATGTAAATTATTCTTTCTTACTCCCTTTTTCCTCAAAGATTCTGATAATGACCTTTGCATTTATCATAGCTCATCATCTCTATGAATATTTGAATACAAGTGTAATTTCTGTTGTAGATGCCAAAAATCTTAAAAGCAAATACATGCCTGTCTAAGAACTGGTGATGGAAAGATTAGCAATTGTTAAAGTTGGAAACAGATGTGCTTAATAGACCTAGATTTGTAAAAATGCATTTGAAAGTCTGGTGTGCTTTTAGAGGGAAATCATTCTTCAATTATTGACATATAGAGAAGAGAAAAGGTAAGAATTTAATTGCAAAATCTAAGTGTTTAAAATGCAACCAAAATAATGTATAGTAGAGGTAATTATATCCAAAATGCTGTTTCCATGCTGAATTTAATACTTATTCAGCTTTTCCTTTGCAAGTCTGTCTATATTGATTCAGAATTAGATTATGAATTCTGAGTGTGTGAAAAGGATCATTTATATGAAATTTCATGGTCTAGAGGATCAAACATTCATGTAAGTAACATTGAATACTCATAATTCTGGTTCCTCATTTTAACAATCAGTGACTCCGATTCTTTCCATAATGGAAGAGATTCTCTGCCATATGTGAGAATACTTGCTAACATTTAAAAATTAGTCTCAAGGTAACAAAAATTTAAAAAGTAACTTTTAATTCTCTTTGAAAATTGTGAGCATTTGCTTGGGATGTTCTAATATATTTTCTTAATAAGTCATCTTTTTGTGATCATAATGTGCCTAGCAGCTTATAATTTATAATATTCCCTCAAAAATATGTACGAATACTTATAGAGACACAGGCATTGTTGGGCCCCTTTATGTCTTACATTGAAGCCTTATTTTAAACACCTCAAAATACCTTTCTGATTTGGGAGAAAATAGAAAATTAGAATTACTAAATTGTATGTAGCTAAAATTCTACACTCACACCTTACCTTTTTAAAACATGTGGCATATGGGAGCTATTCTGCATACATCAAGGCAGGGTCGTTGAAGACAGTTATTAGAAATAGGTGTATGGTGGAATATTAGTGCACTTCTGAGCTCAATGCTAATTTTGAAACATTGACTCTTATTGCTATTCCTGTGGCTTAAATAAATTATTCCACTGAAGTGGCTATACAAATTAATGTATCTTATCAATTCTGCCTCCAAACTGTATCTCACATCATTCTTTCCATCCCTGCTACTTCTCCAGACAGGGCCATTATCATCTCCTTGTTTTTTCCTTCCAGGTCTATTTACTAACACTGTTGACCTATTTAAATTCATTTTACACCCACTAAGCAGCATGATATTTCTAAGAAATTACATCGGATTGTATTAGCCCATTGTTGGAAACACTTCAGTGAATTATCTATTACTTAGTAGATAGCTGCCTTCCAAGTAATTCAGCAGTCTAAGGAAGTTCACATTCACCTGCCGAAACCATCACAGGCTGATGGTTCAGTGGATGCCCACTGACACCACTCTTTCCTACCCTAACTGCTGTAACAAGCAATACACTAAATCCCAGTAACACCCAATAGGTGATTACTGTTGACTCACATACAGCCCTATCTGTGTTTGGAGGGCAGCTTTCTCCATCTATCCAGTGACTCTGCTGTCCTTCAGGTTCTCAGAGGTTCACTCAGTTGGACACTAGTCCATCTGATCAGAGATTAGAAAAAAGAGAGAAGGGAAGATTATGCAAGGATAATTTATATGGGCCAGGCTTGAGAGTAGCATGCATTATTTCCATTTATAATTCACAGATGAGTACTCATTTGTATAGCAATACCTCATTGCAAGGCATGTTGAGCAATGCGTTTAAGTTGTATACCCCAAAAGAAAAAGAAAATGGATTTGGTAAGCATCTAACTAGTTTCTGCAGCAAGAGTCAATACGTTACATGGTATAGTCATACTTACTAATGTCATATCTTATTAATAAATGCATTAATTAAGATACGCTTTCATTAGTGTGGATAAATACATTTTGAGGACTTTGGCTTATATTTAAGGGAGAGTGGGCCTTCTAATCCAAATCTCTCATATTGAGAGTTTGGCTTACCTCTGGAGAGCTGGGAAGTGGAAGGCTTTTGTTTCTCCCCACAAGGAACTTGCCCTATGTCCTTGAGAAAGACTGAAGAGTGAGTGCTTCTCAAGGTATATATTTCCCAAAGAAATGGGGAGAGAGGAAGGATAAGAGCTACCTGTGATGAGTTTCCTCTTTTAAACTCACCAACCAGCCAATTCCCTCTTCCTTCTGGGTGGTTGGAGGGAAAGATACTTGGTTGGAGTCTGAAGAGTGTTGTGAGGACAGCTGGCCATCCACAGGGATGGGTGTTTTGAGTGGAGAAGGTTTTCTCCTTGTACCATTCATCATGGCCTACATGGCTTCATTTCTGCAACACCTCTTTTGTCCTTTCTTTGTCATTTCCCCCTGCCCATGCTTACCTCTTGCTACCCTGGCTTTCACTCATCTAATCAAAGGAACCAAACTTCTTCCTGCTCAATGGCTGGGTCCATGCTGTTTTCCTTGTTGAAAATATCACACACCTCACACCTCTTTCCCCTCCTATGCCAGCCACACCTTGTGATTAACCTCAGTTTGTACATCACTTCATTAAAAAAAAGTCTCTGTCCAAAGTATGTTTCCTTTCCTATTTTTTTTTCAAAGCAACAAGTAATATTTTAAAAGACTTTATCAAACTGTGTGGTTATTTTTATATTTGTTTACTGTTGCCTTCCCCATTGAACTGTCAGCTTCATGAGGATATAGATCATGTCTGCTTATTCACCTCTCCATACTCAATGATGAATAAATGTGCTTAATATTTGTGATGAATAGTAAATGAATGAAGTACTGTACTAATACTTTTCTTAATAGCTATAAATGCTTACATTTCTAAACAGAGGCTATGGGATAGTGTAAGGTGAGTAGTTGACTTCCTGGACTTGTCTTTTATTAGTAAATGAGTCCACTGCCCTCCATCCCTAAGGATTTTAGATTTTCCAGGGTACTGAAATGAAGTCTTATCCATCATGAAAATCTGTTCAGCTTGTTCTCTGCATGACATAAATTAGCTTATCAGGCCAAAGAGTGAGGCAGATAAAACACCATGGTAGAATTCTGCAAATGAATATA